TTCATCAAAAGATAAGCCTGAGAAATAACTCCTTTCTGTATGTGTGCTTACTACCAACTAAATCCTTCCTCACATGATCTGGAATACAGAAGTCTCTTAATTCTCTAAAAGATAAAGTCCTAAAAATACATCTTTTCCCCACCCTTAGGGCTTGCTTCACTGATAGTCTTGGCTGGTTGATTAGAGAAGTCACTGGTTACACGCACAAATCAAACCCCAGACAAACAGCGTCAGTAGTACAGGAATACTCTAGAGGGAGATTTGCCACAGCAGTAAAGCTAACAGCCCCATCCAAGGAAGAAAGAAGTCAGTCAGGTTCATGGGTTAACAAAACAGCCTATTGACCAGTCAACCTATGGCTGCCTTGTGTTTGTCACCAAGGCAGGGACCCACCCTTAAAGTCCACAATCTCTTCCTGCTCTCCCTGAGGCCACAGTAACCTTCTGTATCCTCCAGGCTGAAAAGAACGCCAGCTTTCTGTGCAGATGACACGGAATGAGCTAGTAAGAACAAACCCAGGCTGGGGGAGACTGGATGGAGCAGCCTGAGGAGAAGGACTTGGGGTGCTGGCTGAGGAGAAGCTCCCCATGAGCTGACTTCAGTGAGCGCTTGAGCCCAGAACCCCCCCTGTGCTGGGCTGCACCCCCAGAGCGTGAGCAGCAGCTCAGGGAGGGGATCCTGCCCCTCTGCTGTGTGAAGGGGAGACCTTAGAGCAGCTCCAGTACCTAAAGGGGCTGCAGGAAAGCTGGAGAGGGGCTTGGGACAAGGGCCTGTAGGGACAGGCCAAGGGGAACGGCTTGAACCTGCCCGAGGGGAGACTGAGCTGAGCTCTTAGGCAGAAGCTCTTCCCTGTGAGGGTGCCCAGAGAAGCTGTGGCTGCCCCATCCCTGGCAGTGCTCAAGGCCAGGTTGGACACAGGGGCTTGGAGCAAGCTGCTCCAGTGGAAGGGGTCCCTGCCCATTGCAGGGGTTGGAGCTGGAGGAGCTTTAAGGTCCCAAACCAGTCTGGGATCCTGTGATAACACTGCACTTCACTCACAGCTGCCAATAGGAATGTGTGGGTACAAACTGTACCACCTTCTATTTCTCCATACTTTAAAGTGGTTTAAATATATCAAGTTTCACTGCAACAAGAACCAACACCAGTGACCTGTCCACTCTCAGATCACAGATCAGATAGCTGCTTTTACTAAGCTCACACATCTCTTCAACATTCATCTGACCACCTGAAAGGCAGGCAGGAAAAGAAATCGTAAGTCAGTGGCTTTTTCCTTTCTTTCAGCTCAACAGAAACTCCTTGCTCCTCAGCCCAAATTCAAAGCTCTAATATAGCTCACATAATGGACTTTCCCACTTGGTTTTCTCACTGCCCTCAGCTAATGTATTACAGTTAGCAACCGATTAGCGTGCACTGAAACAGGGAGCATGTTTCACAGCTCTAGCTCTTTGAGGTGACTTGCAGACTCACAGAGGTGGACCATGCTGATTCCCTGCAGTTATGTTTTACTCCAACACAATGAGAGCCAAAGATGGACGAAAACCAAAGGATGATAAAACAGGAATAGAACCCGAGACTGGTGTGGGTTAACGGAACCTTAAAGCTCATCCAGTCCAACCCCTGCCATGGGCAGGGACCCCTTCCACTGGAGCAGCTTGCTCCAAGCCCCTGTGTCCAACCTGGCCTTGAGCACTGCCAGGGATGGGGCAGCCACAGCTTCTCTGGGCACCCTGTGCCAGTGCCTCAGCACCCTCACAGGGAAGAGCTTCTGCCTAAGAGCTCAGCTCCATCTCCCCTCTATGCGTTCCCAGCGTGGGACACAGACCGTGAAAGGCTCCTGTTGTGTTAAAACTGTTAAAGAATAACACAAAGTACAGCAGAGGTGCAATTACAACCTGAGATGAAATAGCAACACCATTTTACCTCCTTCACAAGCTCAGGAAAACAGTGTTTTACCAGGCATTCACCAAGTTGCTCTTTCAGCTAACAAAAGAGTATTCCTGCCTCCTGATTTCAGCCAGCTTATTAATCATGGGAACAGCTAATAATACTACTGTAAAACTGCAATTTAAATGCTATTAACTAGGAATCCTGCTAATGGGAAATGAAAGCCTGTTCAAGCTCTCAATTCTGAATATTAAGGTGAGCCTCAAACATCTATTTAATGATGCACTACTGAAAATACCATTGAAACCACTCCATGCATATCCACAACAGATCCAGAAAGGCCTTCACAACTGGAAGGCTGATACATCAGATGCTTCTCCCATTTATACCATGGCACAGCCACAAAAGCCAGGGAAGAACCCACCCGAGGCAGATAATAAGCACTGAAACCAGCTTGAAATCACTTCAACAGATACAATATGATGAAGAGACCGAGTGAAACCAACTGCCTTGGTAAAATGAGCCGTAGCGTAACTTACATACAGGTTCTGATACATCACATGCATTCAAGATACCTGAGGAAATTACCAGTACTGCCCCATGTGTTTCATGAGCATTTGTATAGGTATTACTCCAAACAAAAGCACTTTGTGCAGTGAAACTTGGCACCAAGCACTGGGCAGCAGAACACAACTTCTTTGAACCAACAAAGCATTCAGTTCTGGGCAATTGGGTTTCACTATCCACCACTATTTATCTCTTTCACTTGCCAAAAAGTCCTAAGTAAGAATATTCCGAGTCCTCTGAGAGTGACAAGAGGCTTTTGGACAGAATCTGTGAAAAGATGTCAAAACCCTGCTTAAGAAACCTCCAGTTTCCTTTAGAACAGGTTTAAAAGGAAGATTCCCCCATTGATGAATCCAACTTCACATTTCTTTTGCAGCACAATTCCTCTCCCCCCCCGCCCCCAAAACCAAGGCTCGATGTGGAATTTTATTACCATCACCAACACAGAAATCCTTTTCACAGGCCCAAGAAGAAACATCCAACGTTGTTCCTGAACTGGGCACTTATCAGCAAACCAAGGAAGCGAGCCCAAAGCCCTCATTCATAGAAGGAGGCATTGAAGGGATGTCAAATGATGCAGCTGGATTGCTGGAAAGCTGAGGGGGGGGGTGTTTAAATGAAAGGATCTGAAAGCCTCAGTTGTTAACACTGAGCCTTCTGAATCTGAGAATGTAATTATTTTTCCAGCTTATCCAGACTATTCCCTAAAAGCAATGACTGCTGCATATAAAACATTGCCAGTGTAGAATGGATAAATGTGTCAAGAATGGATCTTAAATTCAATGCCATTACATAAAATCCTTACAAAAATCACTAAAGAACAGATATTTTTAATCAAAGGTTCAGGAGGCATCTATTGATTCTGTCACTGAAAAACTGTTGCTCTGAATCAAATCAAGTGCAACTGCCAATGGAATCTATAGATGCCAATGTCAGTCCATGTACAGTGGAGGAAGAGGAGGGAGCAGCAATAACTGCAGATCCTCAGAGCACTATTGTCAACATCTGGATTGAATTCAGTGCAAATTTCATGTGATTTACAAAGTGGTTTCAGCTGAGTTTGAGGGCTCAGCCCCCCTGCAGGAGATGTAGGGCTAGAAAATGCATTCAGCACAGACACCAAAATCCTCTTGAATCATAGAATCATAGAATCACAGAACACTTTGGGTTGGAAAGGACCTTAAGATCATCCAGTTCCAACCCCCTGCCATGGGCAGGGACACCTCACACTAAACCATGGCACCCAAGGCTTCATCCAACCTGGCCTTGAACACTGCCAGGGATGGAGCATTCACAACCTCCCTGGGCAACCCATTCCAGTGCCTCAGCACCCTCACAATAAAGAACTTCTTTCCTGATCCAACCTGAACTTCCCCTGTTTCAGTCTGAACCCATCATCCCTTGTCCTATCACTCCAGTCCCTAATGAAGAGTCCCTCCCCAGCATCCTTGTAGCCCCCTTCAGACACTGGAAGCTGCTCTGAGGTCTCCACGCAGCTTCTCTTCTCCAGGCTCAACAGCCCCAATGTTCTCAGCCTGGCTCCATACAGGAGCTGCTCCAGCCCCTGAGCATCCTCGTGGCCTCCTCTGGACTTGTTCCAACAGCTCCATGTCCTTCTGATGTTGAGGACACCAGAACTGCACACAGTGCTCCAGGTGAGGTCTCACAAGAGCAGAGAAGCAAAGTCAGGCCAGCAGCAGCATTTGTTCTGGGCAGACCTAGGGGTGATGCAGCTAGGAGGCTTAACTCAACAAGCCACAAACTACAGGTAGAGACACCCAAGCAACAGCTTCCATTTTTACATCACTTCTGTCACTGCCCCAACCCCAACGACTGTAACATCAGGCACATCCCCAGTTGTATTTTTGGTACACTAAACTCCACAAGCTCCTTTGCTTCTATTTCATCCACCTTTTAATCTGTTTTAGAAGAAATTAATGTCTTTTTAAGCTGTTGGACTTGGACTTAAGCTCCAAGAGCCTTCCCTGTAAATGAAGGAGGCAGCTGTACCCTTATGAGATACTTTCTAATTTTGGAAGCAGGGAGGAAAAAATCAATCCTCCCTCCTTTCTCCCAAACAAATCAGAATTCATTCCACTCCCTATCACCAGCACGAGGCCAAATCTGGCTGCTTTTATTGCAGATGAATGGGAAGCTGCTCCTCCTGAAGAATGGGAATGTAAATTTATATTGGCCCGAGGATGCCAGAACCCATTTCCTCTCCCTCCAATTGACCTGATTTTACTTTTTTACTCAGGTTTCACACTAACTTCTGAGAAAACCTCAAAGAGGTCCCTGGCTTTGTAACACTTTGAAAGAATAATATGAAAAACGGTTTCTGTACACAGGAACTTCCTCGAGTCAAAACATCCATGAAAAAAAACAGAACAAGTCTAAGTCCTGCATAGGCCAAACTGTCCGAATTGGAGCTTCAAGACATACTTTCATAGTGACTTACAGAAAGGGTAAATGAAAAACCCTATAGACCTAATGAAGAAATTACATCAAGAGAACAATGCCATAGATAACAAAATTACACTAGAACCTACCTGTGCATATTCCTTCTCGATTGCTGCTCTTTTCTGACTGAATGCTCTGAAAAAGAAGGAAAAAAGAAATCCATTAATACATAAATCAAAATACTAAAAATTCAATTATTTAATTAGAAAGATTTGGACCTGGGGTGCTGGGTGAGGAGAAGCTCCCCATGACCCAGCTTCAGCGAGCGCTTGAGCCCAGAAGCCCCCCTTGTGCTGGGCTGCACCCCCAGAGCATGAGCAGCAGCTCAGGGAGGGGATCCTGCCCCTCTGTTGTGTGAAGGGGAGACCTGAGAGCAGCTCCAGTGCCTAAAGGGGCTGCAGGAATCCTGGAGAGGGCCTTTGGACAAGGGCCTGTAGGGACAGGCCAAGGGGAATGGCTTTAACATCCTTTCCAACAAAAAGCATTTGTGATTCTATGATATAATCACAGAACATTTAGGATACTTGGTTTACATTGAACCTGGATATGGAGCTCTGAGGGTTCCCCCCCTCCTCATGCAAAACAAATTCCACTTAATTTAAGAGCGTAACAACAAATATCACAAGCTGGAAGCCTGAGATATCCCCTAAAATCCTGCTACATTGAAAGGTTTACACTGGAGGATTGAAACAAAAGCATCCAACTGGCCCTACTACTACAACTGCAAAACACCCTGCAAAGCAAATCTGCTTGCAAACCCAACCAAGCTCTTGGACCTGGCAGGACTGCAAGCTCCAGCATGAAGAACATGTCTTGTACAGTAGCACCTCCCTCAATTAGAAACGTTTGTTCTGTGCTTTAAATGGGGGTTTGGAATGAAAACTGGCAAGGCATTTGACTTATACAATACTTGAATTGGTGTTTGATCTGTGTTTTGGTGAATTAATATAATGGTAAATCCTGAAGGAGCAGCAGGATGAGGCGCCACATCCCTTGAAGCCAGTGTTCTCCACTGCTTTGTGACTGCATTTCCCTCCATTAGCCAAACACAAAGCTGGATTTAACCTCGGGACAGTTTAGACAGGAATCCTTTTATGACAGCTATAAATATATTACAAAACATGATGAAATATGAGGCTCAAGTAGCCACATTTCTCAGGAGAAAATTCTTTGGAGCAGAGAGCTAAAAACAAAAGTCTGACTAAGAAATGCATCATCGTTCCTTAACTTGGGAAACCTGAACACTTTCATGGGTATCCTGATTTTATGGGCAAAGCTGGGATATTCTTAACCTTATTGTTGTTCCAGATGGAATTTCAAGTTTATTCATATAAGGAAACATTTGGTTCCATGAGCTAATAAAATGTTCTCTAACTGCTACTGAAAAGCTTGTAAGAAATGAATTAGTGGCTCTGCAGGAAAGCGGGAATGGTACTTAGGGATCCTTTAAATTAGGAAGTATTAATACCTGCTATTGCAGCCCTTCACAGATTAAGCATTAGTTAGTGCAGAGAACAACAGAACTGGACAGCCAAAAAAGGATCATAGTTTGTTTCTGGAGAGCAGATCCTAAACATCAGCTTTATCCTGCAAACCATGAATTCCCTTTCCCCCCTAAAAATCATTTTAAAGCATTTAAAGACTCTGAATGCTTAAAAAGAGGGTGAGAAAGAATAAATACAGTCACAGAATCCCAGACTGCTTTGGGTTGAAGGGACCTTAGAGCTCATCCAGTCCCAACCCCTGCCACGGGCAGGGACACCTTCTACTGGAGCAGCTTGCTCCAAGCCCCTGTGTCCAACCTGGCCTTGAGCACTGCCAGGGATGGGGCAGCCACAGCTTCTCTGGGCACCCTGTGCCAGCGCCTCAGCACCCTCACAGGGAAGAGCTTCTTCCTTATATATAACCTGAACTTCCCCTGTTTCAGTCTGAACCCATCACCCCTTGTCCTGTCACTGCAGTCCCTGATGAAGAGTCCCTCCCCAGCATCCTTGCAGCCCCCTTCAGACACTGGAAGCTGCTCTGAGGTCTCCACGCAGCTTCTCTTCTCCAGGCTCAACAGCCTCAGCGTTCTCAGCCTGTCAAGAAAATATTCAGCAATATTTGGTGTCTATAAGTTGTAAGCATTTTCCATCTAATACTCTGCACAATCCTCAAACTGCAGAAAAATCCTGACTTAAGTTCTTCAAAACTAAGAAACCCAATAAAAATAAACTTATTCTCACCATCAGGGCAAAAAGCTGCCATGTAAAAGGAACTCTACTTTATTGCCAATCCAATGAGCAACCAAGCACCTATCTTTAACAGACCCTGGTGTTAGGGCAGTCTGCTACGAGCCTGAAGGAAAAGTCACACTCAGAAGAATTATTCCAATGGTTTCAACATACGTGATTTAACTCAAGCCACCCACAGCATCTCCTCACACTGCTGCCTGCAGCTCCTTCCATGGCTCACAGCTCCGTGTGACTAGAATGAGCCTAATCCTGGAGGGATTACAAAGGAATGTTCGTTGGGAAGGCCAAGCAGCTAGAGAAGCTCTGCAGAGGACAGCACTCTTCCTTTGAAATGTCAGGAGTTGAGAGAGCTGGGCTGGGTCAGCCTGGAGAAGAGAAGGCTCCTGAAGGGGAGACCTTAGAGCAGCTCCAGTGCCTAAAGGGGCTGCAGGAAAGCTGGAGAGGGGCTTGGGACAAGGGCCTGTAGGGCCAGGCCAAGGGGAATGGCTTGAACCTGCCCGAGGGGAGACTGAGCTGAGCTCTTAGGCAGAAGCTCTTCCCTGTGAGGGTGCTGAGGCGCTGGCACAGGGTGCCCAGAGAAGCTGTGGCTGCCCCATCCCTGGCAGTGCTCAAGGCCAGGTTGGACACAGGGGCTTGGAGCAAGCTGCTCCAGTGGAAGGGGTCCCTGCCTGTGGCAGGGGTTGGGACTGGAGGAGCTTTAAGGACCCTTCCAACACAAACCAGTCCATGGTTCTATGTTTTTTTTTGGCTATGGACATTCAGTCTAATTGCTTAGAAAGTGTAATTAAAAGAATATTACACACCTGTGCAAAGCAGCAGAAAATGTACAAAACAATATAAAATCCAAACCATCTGGAAATGTTACACTACAGAAAAGCACCTGTTTTAACTGACCTTGACCTAAGGCATTCCCAACTGCCACACTAACAAAACAAGGAGCAGGGAAATGAGCAAACAACACACTCAGCTCTACAGAGAGTGGATTTCCCACATCAGCAGAACACACAGCAACAGAACCAATGCTTTCAGTGCTATCTGACAGGTGATGAGAGGTGGGAATTTCACATACACACACTGCATGGTGATGGTAACTAAACCCATTGTTTAAACCCTTTTAATACATACTCCTGTATCCATAACAGAATCATTTTCTCAGCATCATTCAGCCAGTGTAGTTTTCTCTTTGCTTTACCAACTGTGCACATCCCCATAAGTGAAAGCCACATGAAGTGCGGCAGATCTGTAAAGCCCCAGTGCCATGAGAACAGGAACAGGGGAAAAGGAGTAGGAATTAGATAATTTTCCATTGGTTTTATGTTATGAGCTATTAAGGTAATTTCAAAATTGAGTCTAAAAATGAACTCACCCCATGAAGAATTCCTGAAGTAAATCCACTTCAGAATTGCAGAGCAGATTGTGACTGATTTTAAAGTGACTCAATCCCCCAGCACTCAAGGAGGTGAATCAGTGAATTAGGAAATATCCCAAATTTCCAGCTTCCCATAAAGCAGATCAAGAATAATTCCTGACAGCTGGAACATCTGCCAGTGGAAAATGATGACACTGCAACTCCTGCTTCTGATCTACACTGGGAGCGCACACGCTGTGTGAGGATATCCAAGCTAATACTAAACTGGTTTTCTTTATGATGGAATCAGACACTCACTCCACAACCTTCCATTAAAAACATTAAAACAGAGCTCTCATTTCTGGGAGTAATCCCAGAACACTCAAACCCCAACGTCATGTATCACAGACTGGGATTGTTCATCCTTTTTTGTCCCATTCCGAGACAAAAATCACGACTGAACAACCTAAGCCCCATTTATCTATCAGGGAATAAATGCACAGATACAGTTTAGCCCCCTCCAAAATATCCCAACCTACATTTGAAACCAAAATCTGCATGCAGCAACTTAAAATGCAGTGTTAAATATCAATTCCCCACCTCCCTCAACAGCCAAACAGATCTGAAATGGCTTTTACAGCGACGAGATGGATTTATTCTAAGCAAGGGAAAGAGATTCTAACCCATGAGCAGCAGGGGAGGCACCTGATGGTGAATGCTCACTCCTGAAATATTCATGTACAAGATGGCATTGAAATTCCCAACTGGCTGCCCCAGCCTGACCTGTTGCTCAAGGCTGGAGTGTTCCAGGGCTGGACTTGGCATTTGCCTTTGTTGACCTTCATGAGGTTCCTGCCAGCCCACGTCACCCATAGAAATCATGGAATGGTTTGTGTTGGAAAGGACCTTAAGATCATCCCATTCCAACCCCCTGCCATGGGCAGGGACACCTCACACTAGAGCAGGCTGCTCCAAGCCCCTGTGTGCAACCTGGCCTTGAACACTGCCAGGGATGGGGCAGCCACAGCTCATCCCACTTTCCCCACTAACCTGAAAATGCACCATCATGAATCTGTATCATACAAGCGAATTTCTACCTGGTTTTTAACTCCAGGACACGTATGACACTGACATAGACAGAACCCTGAATTCAGAAGCACCTTAGCTAACATCAATCATCACTGTAGCTCGGTGTAGGCCAGTGGTTAGCAATAAAAGCAGAGTTAACAGCACAGCAGCAGCTCTGTGCCTAATTAGGTACTTCAGGAACACCCATACACACAGGAACAACCTGCATTAATATTCCCTTTCCGTGTCCAGCAGAGACAAAGACAACCTACTTGGAACAATAATTCATCCACAGAAATGATCCCTCAGGACAAGACTGGCAAAGGCTGTGTGTAAGAGGCTCCTCTTTGTGTTTTCCTGTTTATCCTAAATAGAATCACCCCTAGAAAAGCGTTTTGAAAGATAAGCATAATATTCTGAGTGTCTAAAGGATGTTATTGGACAGGAAAGCGCTGATTTCTACAGTTATCCATAGACAGCCTTCA